TTATGCATCCTGCCTTCCAAGAAGAGACATTTTTAGGTTTTTAAGTTGTTTCTTCTTATATTGACATCAATATTTCAAAATAACATCAATATATATCTATCTTCTGGTTTTTCAGTTTTGAACATTACTGATTGATTTTATAGAAGATGAAAATTAGCTGACTATAATACCAATTCCCCACAGACTTATACTTCCCCCATCTTTACATGTTTCTATTACAATTTTTAGTAACATCATTCAGCTTTATGTTCTTGCTGCTGCTGTTATGCGCCGTCTTCTTACAACAATATAAATATAATGCACATCTGAGCCTGCAATGTACTGTGACTATATTTTCTTTTTTGCATAGCTTCCTCCTACTCTAGACTTAAATTTTAGCCCATTATTTATCTGCTTAGTTTATTAGATGCTTATTACTAATTCTATATCAAATTCACTAATAGAAATATAAACATCCTCTTAGTGTGTTCAAACATCAAACCTAATCTGCCACCTTCTCTTTGTTCCTGGAAACATACTTCTAAACGTCCTCAGTATTTCTGCTCAACCCTGCTTGGTTGTTTTCTAAATTTGTTTTGATTTCTCCATACCATTGTTCTGGGGATTTCCATTCCCACCCCCCACTTGTGTTAGAAACCTTATTTTATGATTCCCATATCTTCTCCTTTTTTATTTGATTCCTTTCTTGTAGTATCATAGTTCCTCTAGCAGCTCCCTGAGAAACTACAAGGAGCATATCATTTTTAAAAAGTCTCATCTCTAAAAATATCCTTATTTAACATGTACCCTGATTGATAGTTTGGCTAAATATAGAATTCTAAGCTACAAATAACTTGACTTCAAAATTTTGAAGCCATTTGAAGCCAATAATATTTTCTGTTATTGCTGTTAACAACTCTAATGCTGTTTTCATTCTTGATTATTTATAAGTCACCTTTAAAAAAATTTTTTTCCCCTTCTGGAAGATTTTAAGTACTTATGTTTATCCTTAAGGTATTGACATTTCATACTAAACTGTCTTAGTGGAGTTGTTTTTCTGTCCATTATGCTGGATACTTTGTGGACTTTAGTCTAGAAATGCATGTCCTTCAGTTTTTGGAAATACTATTGAATTAAGTCCTGGGTCATTTCCTCTCTTCCATTTTCCTTGTTCGTTCTTTCTGGGACCTGTAAGTGGGATACTATAGATCCTGGTATGAATCTCTAATTTTACTTTTTTCTCTCCATCTCTTTGTCTTTTCCTCTTACTATCTTGGGTATTTGGAAGTGTGGTGATTTTCCATGATAAGCACTGGACTGGGAACCACAAGTTTGAGCCTGCCAGGCATTCTGTGGGAGAAAGATGAGGCTTTCTACTCCCACCAAGATGTACAGCCTTGGAAACCCTATACAGGGTCTCTATGAATCAAACCGACTCGCATCTGGGAGATTTATTCAACTTTATTATCTCATCCAAATATTTAATTTTTTGTTTTGGGGTTCATATTTTAATTTCATTCTTGTTCTCCTTCCCCCGACCACCCAATAGCATTCTATTCATTTTTACAGGTGCATAATTTTCTCTCTTCTCTCTGAGAATATTAACTATATTTTTGAAGCCTTCTTTTGCTTCTTGAATTGTTTTATGTCTTTTTTTCTGCATTCATTTTTTACTTATCTGTCTGTTTCTGGTGTCTGATTTTCATATTAGAGGCGTTCCTCAAATAAGGCTCCAAAATGTTACTGGAAGTTCTATGTGCTTGGGTATGGCTTACTGACTAGTTTATTTTTCAGTGGAGAGACTGAACTCCCATTTCACGGGGAGACCCCTTACTGTTGTATTCATTGCCAACTCAAGAGAGGGCTCTTTCAATTTCTTACTTATTGGTACGTAAGCCTTGTTACCTGTGTTCTTGGAAATGAGTAGGTGAAGAATACTAGGAGGTCTCATCAGTTAATTTAATAGATTTTCACCATAGCGCCTCATCTTCTTCCATACTCTATCTTTTGTCCTCAGGTTCAAAGTCTCTTTCATTCAATTTTCTAGAGAGCAAATCTGGTGTCCTGTCAGGATGGGCAAGAGATTTCTGAGGATGGGGAATTAGGGAAAGCACCTGAGGACTTCTCTGCTCTTTTTATAATCTTTCATACAGTTCTGTTTTCAGGCCCACTCTTCTCTCCCTCTCAATTCCCGAGCCTTTCCAGTGTTGTATCACATAACTAACCTTCTATCTTACAAAAAATTCACATTAAAAACAATTAAAATCTCAATACTAAATGACTTCCTTTCATAACTGATTAGTAGGAATAGCTTGAAATGTGGTCTGTTTTGTCTGTAAAAGAAATCCTCTTTTTGTTTTGTTCTTGTTTCAGTTATCAAACTTACTTCCAGAATTCCTGTGTTTGGCACCTCTAAGATGACTCCAAATGGTTATATCTCTTCCTATTCATACCCTTACATAGTTCCCTTTGAAGGATTCTAAGGAGTTCTTTTGTGTAGTGGTTACGAATCAGGCTGCGAACCGCAAGGTCAGCAGTTCGAAACTACCAGCTGTTCCGCGGGAGAAAGATGAGGCTTTCTGCTCCTGTAAAGGAAACCCTGTTACAGGGTCACTATGAGTCAGAACCGACGACTCCACGGCACATAACCACCATAGGCAAACTATTGAATGATGCCGAGAACATTAAAGAAGGTTGAGGGAATACATAGAGTTACTATACCAAAAAGAAATGGTCAATATTCAACAATTTCAAGAGGTAGCATATGATCAAGAACCTACGGTACTGAAGGAAGAAGTCTAAGCTGCACAGAAGGCATTTGTGAAAAACTAGGCTCCAGGAATGGACAGAATACAGAGTGAAATATTTCAACAAACTGATGCAGCACTGGAGGCACTCACTCATCTATGCCAAGAAATTTGGAAGACAGCTACTTGGCCAACTGATTGGAAGAGATTCATATTTGTGCCCATTCCAAAGACAGGTGGTCCAATGGAATGCAGAAATCATTGAACAATATCATTAATATCACATGCAATTAACATTTTTAAAAAGATAATTCAAGACCAGTTGCAATAATACATCAACAGGGAACTGTCAGTCACTCAATCTGGATACGGAAGAGGACATGGAACTAGGGATATCACTGGAGATGTCAGATGGTTCTTGGCTGAAAGCAGAAAATACCATAAAAATGTTTGCTTGTGTTTGATTGACTATGCGAAGGCTTTCAACTGTGTGGGTCATGACAAGCTATGGACAACATTGTGGAGAATAAGTATTCTGGAACACGTAAGTGTGCTCATGAGGAACCTGTACATAGGCAAGAGGAAGTGGTTTTAACAGAACCAGGAGATACTGGATGGTTTAAAATCAATTTAATTGTGTGGACAATTATATTAAACATAGTAGACTGAACAAGTATGGTGAAAATTCTTTCATCATACTTATTTACATACTCCATTTATTGTATTTGCAATTTCTTTGCAATTGGTAAACCATACTTATAACAGACATAAAACTTTTATTTTGGTTGATAAATATACAGCAAGGACATGGTATATATATATATTTTTTTTTTTTTTAAATGTTTATTGTGAAATATGTGATAGTTTGCATGGGAGAACATTAGGTTTACATTCATCCTATCGTGTATCGCTTCATTGCCATGGTAAGGGTATGGTATATTTAATTGCTTATAATCAATATTATTGAGAAGCCCTTGTAGTGTAGTGGGTTATTAGTTGGGCTCCTAACTTCAAGGTCAGTTGTGTGAATCTACCAGTCACGTCGTGGGAGAAAGATGAGGTTTTTTGCTCCCATAAAGACTTCCAGTCTCTGAAACCCTACACAGGGACGGGATGAGTCGGAACCAACTTGAACAGTACACAACCACCACCACCAATCAATACTATTACTAGCACATTCCTTTTAGTCCTTTGTTAAGATGTGAATAAAACCAAGAAAACTTACTTTTCCTTAACATTCAGAATCTTTCCCCATTTGTCTTTATTTGACATACTGTCATAAATGAGATAATATATTCTGTGACATACTTTGATGATTGGTGGTTGTGTGCCAACGAGTGGGTTCTGACTCATAGCAACCCTGTATAGGGTTTCTGAGGCTGTAAATCTTTATCAGAGCAGAAAGCCTCATCTTTCTCCCACAGAACAGCTGGCAGTTTCAAACTACTGACTTTGAGTTTAGCAGCCTAACTCGTAACCATCATTAGAGGCCATGTTATTTAATTCACTATTTCTAAACTGCTTAAGCAGTTCAGAAATAAGAATTGCTTGGGAAAAAAGCTTTTATTTTAAAATAAGTGTCTATCCCAGTTTAAATAAAATAAAAACAGTGCTGAAATAATCATGACTGCATAAGAAAGAAAACCAATGCATGTAAATTACCTTATAAATTTAGATTAACAGAAAGATAAAACTGTAAAGTAAAATTCCATTTAAAATATATCATTCAAATACTTTTTAAAGGTAAGCAGCCAGTACTCTAAACATTTCTTTGGCAAAGACTTAATGTCAAAATAACTGACATAAAGATTCTTAGTTTCAATCCCCAAACTCCCGCTGCCAGGGAGTGAGTTGGATTCCTACTTCACAGTGATCCCATTGAGTTTCAGAAGCAGTAAATCTTTACAGAAGCAGAAGCTCACATCTTTCTCCTGCAAAGTGGTTGGTGGGGCCTTTCAGTTACCAGCCCAACATTTAAGGCACTGCACCCCAGGGCTCCTTCCTAGTCTTAGAGGTTTCAAATAGCTATTTGCAATACAGTAGAACTGGGTGCCAAGGAAAACTGAGAGCTTATGTAGTTTAACATATTCATTTTAACCAAACAGGAAACCAGGTCTTGAGAGGTTAAAACAACCAGGATGTGATGATCCCAGGTTCCTAACACTCCAGGACTCTTTCCAAGACACCAACCTACCTTTCCTGTTTTTGTTAGTCTGTTTTTAGAAAGAGTGGGCTCTTTTATTAAATGTAATGGTACTGTCATCTGAAGCCTACCTCTTCCTGGGACTGGTTAAACTGCTGCATCAGTTGTGTTTGTGCCAGCATTACTCTTTCCAGTTCATCTGACTTCTCTTTCATTTCCTTCTTCAGGTCCTTTGAAATGGAATCATTGCTGTCTATTTCCTTCTTCAAACGAGATTCAAATTCTGCAACCAGACTTTTAAGATTTTCAATTTCTTTTTCCTTTGACACAGATTCTTGAGTGTATCTAATATGGGATTCACGGAGTTTTTCTTGTAGAGTGACTACTTCCAGCCTTAGATCTCTAGTAGCGTCTGTGATTAAGTCAGATATCTGTAAGATAAATATTGTATTAGTTTGCAGCAGTAGTATCTAGGTAGCCACACAGTTCTGTGGTTCATAAAATGTTTATTCTTAATAATCAGTGTACTATGTTGATCAGACAAAACCAAATTTTTGATATATAAGGGCATGTCAAAAGTTGTTAAGTGCCATCAAGTTAGTTCCGACCCATACCGACACTGTATAGGGTTTCCAAGAAATGACTGGTAAGCTTCAACAACTAACCTTGTGGTTCTGTGTGAAAAGTACTGCCACAAAATCACCAAAATATTTATTAAACAAAAATATAAATATGTGAAGCAATTGATTCTTGACATATCCTCCATCTAAGTCTTTACGAAGTCCTGGTGTGGCGCTGTAGAATATACTGGAAGGTTAGCTGTACACACCCACCAGTTGCTCCACAGAAAGCCTACGCAGGGTCTCTATAACTCAGAACTGGCTCAGTAGAATTTAACAACAGTATCTATGTACTTCTGAACGCTGTGTTTCCATTGTCTCTAACCCTTCTCTCAAAGAAGTCTGTGCTCCTTTATTTACATAGATGACACTTTTGACATCCTCCAGGGACTAAAATTGTGTTCCTTTTAAATATTCTTTGAGTTTGGGAAACGAGAATTCTGAAGTGAAGGGGCAAGATCACTGCTGTCAGGTGAATAGGATAAGGCTTTCCAGTAAATTCTCACAGGACAATCCTTGCTACCCAGGAAGAATGAGCAGGTACAATATTGTGATGGAAATAAATTCCTTAGCTCAACTTTCCTGGCCTTTTGGTAACCAATGCAGTTTTCCATTTTCTTAAAACATCTTCATAATAAAGCCCCCATGATCATGCTGTGCCCCTTTTTGCAATCTCAAAAGAGCAGCCTTCATAACCTGAACTGACCTTTTTGTCTTGAATTGAACTGAACCAGCAGATACCTTGCATTGATGGATTGCTTCTTTTAAAGCATCAGTGTTTCCTTCTGCTGTGCATAAGGTAGCTATGAGTTGCTTCTGACTCAATGGCATCT